AGACCAGGGGAACAGCTCAGGGGAACCAGACCAGGGGAACAGCTCAGGGGAACGCAGGCCTGCAAGAAGGCAAAATAAAACCAGAATATTAACAACAAACAAAACAATACTGACAAGATAAAAAAATGTCACGAACAAAGACAAATGATGCCAGAAACAATTATAAAAACCTGTTACCAGGCTTAAGGTGAGAGTTACGGAAATGCAGTGATAAAGGTGATTTTAAATTCTGAACACCCAGAAAGGACAATGTGAGGCTTTTTAATGTAAGTTATTTATTACCTTTCAACAAAGAACTGTAAATCCCATCAGTTGCATAACACTGGAAAGTGAAATTCTTTGTTCCTCTTGCAAAAACTTAAGAAATTCTCTAATTACAAAAATAATTATGGTTGACCTTTTCTTGCTGTTTATTTCTTAGCAGAAAGTCATATGTACAGCAATGTGAAAGGGATTCATAAGGAAAATGGTAGCTGGAAGATAGTTCTTCTTTGCTGATTTAGTTCTTGTTGTTCTCCCCACAAGGCTGTCATGGCTAATGTCTGCTTTGCAGGATAACAGCTGGGTCTCAATCAGCTCACCAATCGATGAACTGCATCTAAAACAGCCAAAATGCCTTGCAGCTCCCAGCGCCACCTCTCTCTCTGTTTCCCTGTTTATAACATCCAGATATCAGGTGAAGAGCCTCCTTCTCTGGCTGGTCATGATCCCCTTTCAAGCTTCAAACCACAAGCACATCCATCAGTACAGGCCAATTCCTGCCACGCCGCTTACGTTCGGGAAAATCCTGACTTCTGAAATGAAGAAATGGAGGCATCAGCTCCATACTCATGGGAGAGCAAATGAAAACTGACATTTTAACATTCAGTAATTGTCATCTACCATAAATCAAGCCGTATAAAGGTCATTACGATTCAGTCGTCTGATCCTCGACTTTTTGGAGTCAGGGGATGAGTTTTCCATTACCATCAATCCTCGAGACAGTGAAGCGAAATTTTAAACTTGACACTGAGAATTTATGCAATACGATTAAATTACTGGGATCCCATTATGCCAAAACAGAAAAAAAAATGAATGACCAAAGTTCTACTTACCCTGGGATGATATTTGTCTTTTGTGAAACATCCACATTGTTTATGAGCTTTGGTTGTTTCTTTATATCTTTACTCACAGAATTAACTGTCAGATAAGACCGGAACCCACCACATGGGAGAGACGGCTGGGTTAAGAGCATGTAGCATATATGCTTGCAATGTTTTAATAGCTTTCCCACTCTGTTTGTAAAATGAGATCCTGTCCAAACACACTAACGCCGCCCGTTTGTCTTTGCTTTCCTATAACTGAACAGTCTTTGAAACCACATTCATTCTCTAATATCTTATTTTAATATGAATACTGAGCTACAAATTGTGGCTTTGAAGCTGCATGTCTTTAATCAGTCTTTCTTTGGTTCGTTCCGAATTCCGTGATTTCCATTACTTTAAAATCTTTATTAATTATGAAAAATGGCTTGAGGCCTTATCAGCAGTAATGGTTTTTTGTCTCATTATCTGGTGCTTATACAGAATTCATGGCATTTCCTTTCACAGCAGGAGCGTTACCTTTTTCTGGGCTTTATATGTTTCAGTGTGCAACAAAAATAATTTCTATAAATAAAAAAGAATTAACAAGCTCCCTCTGCTGGCACCAATATCTGTGTGCCTTAATATTTTTGCATTTCAGTCATCATCGAGAGCTACCTTCTGAAGGGACCGTGTCATGGGAGTGCACCTACACCCATTATGACAAGCAGAACGGGTGAGGACAGTGCCTCATGCATGTAATGGGCCTCCTAGACAATAGATGGCAGCAATGCACTGCAATGTACAATCTCTAGATTTTTGTAAAGAAAGAGAAGAAAAGTCATGACAAAGACTACATAACAATGAAAGACTCCTAAGCCTTGGGAATGTCTTTGGCGATCCTCCCAAATTTAATTGTAGTATACGCTCGGAAAGAAACGTCCGAAATATGAATAATGACCCCGCTTAGTTTACTGCGACGGAAAACCACACGTTAATTTTAGCCCTTGCTTTTGTTGGCGCCGTACAGGAGTCACTCGCGGATCGCGAGTCTTTGCTGTTAAATGTACATCACGTCACGTCGGTGGCCATTGCTGCGCCGCTTCCGGGTTCGCTGCTGAGGCAATCTGCGGGAAAGTGGGAGTAAGACGGGGCCGAGTCAAGAGGAGAAGAGAGGAGAAGAACGGAGCGGAAAGCGGCGGCTCGGCTGCTTCACGACGCTGGTCGGCCAGAGGCTGGTTTGATGATAGAGGTAAAGGTACGTCGCTCTTTCGTTCCGACTTCCTCTGTAGGCTGTCGGGTTGTTTACACGCGCTGCTGTAGCCTCTCACGCGCCAGCTAGGCGCTATATCACTGATTTTTCTCGGGATGAGAACATAAGCATTACGTCTGTCTGCCGTGTGACTAAGGGCTGCATAAGTATCCCTTAACCTGTCTGTATCTACAGTCGTCTAGTTACGTGGTTTGTCATTAGCTATTAAAATGCAGTGAACCAAAGCCGAAAGGCGGATCATGTGGCAAACTGCTGAGTGTCTGTTCAGGAGGAGCAGGATGATGACGATCATGATGAAGATGGGTTTTGTCATTAATTTATTGTTGGGTTGCACTCAGTCGATACTCATTCTGGCCCTGTGTGTAAATGTCGAACTTAGAAATAAACCATGAGAAAACTACGTATGGTTCTTGGAAGAACAACTAAAGTAAAAGTTGTTGGAAATATACACGAAGGGACGAAATGTAACGTGGAGCAAATAAACTGGCATGCTATGTTGCAAAAGGCTATAAATGCAGGTCAACATGCAAAGATCCATCTGTTCAGAGTTTCGTTGTACAGGACAATATTCTGTTTCATTGTAATTTCGTCTAGTTGAACTTCTTTCACTTTTGTGTTTGTTTTTTTAGATTTGTTAGTTTATCAGTAGAATATTTGACTGTTAAGGGATGATTGAGTAGTGTAGTCAGTATGACCAGTTCAGTTCCAAATTGTCCCCTGAAATAATGGTTTGACTTTTCTTACCAGGAGCAGTGCACCTGGGGTAGCTCATCCTATTGACCTTTACCCAAAATATTCTTGGTGGACATGGCCAGTGCCACCCCACTGGCATCTGGCTCCAGTGCCCCCAATGACACCAACCCTGGGGTCAGCAGCTCGACAGCCGGGGAGGGGGGTACGCAGGACAGCACCTTTGAATGCAACATCTGTCTGGACACGGCCAAGGACGCCGTCATCAGCCTCTGCGGACACCTTTTCTGGTACGATGGTGTGAATGCCTTCTGCCAACCATTATTCTGCATTGTCTGTGTCTTTGTGTGTGTATGAACTTGCACAGGGACCTTAATTCCTATGTTCAGACCTCAGTGTCCCAGTTAGAAGTTAATCTTAGTCCGATTTGTGCATCTGCTTTTTCACTCATCGCTGCAACATTTAATAAGGTGTGTGGCACGGAGATCTAAAATAGTCGCATCATCTTTTAACCTTAAAAGTTAAGGTATCAAAACACTCTGAATGGATAGATGAACTGACAGACAGATGGATTGATGGATTGATTAATGTCTGGATGGATGGATGGATGGATGGATACTTTATTGATCCTGAAGGAAATTTACAAAGAGCACACACACAGTCACACACACACACACACCCTTTCCTTTGATTCTTTATGAGCTGCAGCTGAATGTCTGGGATGTTGGCTTGTAGCTGCTCAGTGTTGTGTGTTTCTTTCTCTTTTAAGTGTGGTGAATAGTGGCCAGAGAACCAGCTTGACCACAGGGTCTTAAGTAGTGGGAGAAATGGGGAAATAGCTGAAGGACATTTTTTCTGCTCTGAAATATGCTGGCAAGGGGCAGGAATTGGAAGCGCATCTTACCGTCTGCATCTCAGAAATCCTGGGATAATGTTACCGTGACGTTTAGCTGTAAAGATATTTCTTTAAATGATCGTATGTGTGCTGTTTACTGATGAAGAACAATGTGTGTGTGCAGATAATGGGCATGTTGGTGATCCGTGATAAGATGCTAATGAGCGTTTTCTTTTTTGTTTGTTCTCCGAATACCCCTTCCTCTGTCGGTGTCAGCTGGCCGTGTTTACATCAGGTGAGACCCGCCCTCCATTTACCTGCCGTTACATCAGCCCCGCAGACAGGAACCCCTGGGGCCTCAATTTACAGGCAGGCAGGACACATTGACTCGGCAGAGAGGCTCTTCCCACCCACAGTGTCTAGCTACTCACGCTTTGGTCAAACCGCTCTTCTCTTACGCCAAAGTTCTTTTAAATCCATTAGTGAAAGTTATTTCTGCCTCCTGAGGTGCCGGTGAAAAGTTTGCTAATTGAAATGGTTGTCATGGTTACAACAGACGCATAGTCCTGCTTTCCCGCCAGCCCCAGTCGCCATAAAGCACTCTTATGGGGACATATTGAGATATGAAAAACCGAAAGCTAACCTCCCCCCTTGCCGGCTGTGTTCTCAGTGGTTGGAGACGCGGCCAAACAGGCAGGTGTGCCCAGTGTGCAAGGCGGGAATCAGTCGGGAGAAGGTGATCCCCTTGTATGGCCGAGGGAGCACGGGGCAGCAGGACCCCAGGTAGGCCGAGCCGCCCGTGTCACTGCCGCCCGCAGAGCACTGTCACTGTCCCCCTAACCACGTCCCCAATCCATTTTCCTGACCACATTTAGGGAGAGGACGCCTCCCCGCCCTCAGGGACAGAGACCGGAGCCGGAGAATCGCGGGGTAAGCAGGGCTGACCAGCGTACACTCACACACTCCTCTGTCCTGCTGCTGTTCTGACTGCCTCTCCCCTCTCACTGCCGCCTGATGAAACAGTTACATGGTTCGCTGTCACTGCCGTTTTGGGGCCAAGCATATAATTCATTAAGAAAAGTGGCACCTCCTCCTGGGGACTCATTATACCACGTCTGCGAGGGTCCTTAGAGGTCCTCTGTGGTGCCCCCAGATACTTCTGACCCTTCGTTTCTCTGATTGCATCACACACACAAACTCACATACACACACACACACTGGTGTGTCTGCATTAATGCATGTTATTAGTTGACCCAGAATACAGAGTTTAAAGAAAAGTATTTACTTTTAAATAGGTATATTTGCCATATTCAGTGTAGGGAATCGGTATTTAATGTGGCATAGAAGCAAAGATCCCCCCTTTCAACAATAATTATCTTGCAAACAATTCTACTTGATACTGCGGTTTATGGTATTTTGATAGTATTTTCAAAAGCACGTGGAGAAGTGAAATATGAACTAGATTTACCACGCCAATGTTAACGTTGCTAGGTGGTGATGTCATTATACGCTGCTTATTGTGAACATTATTGATGAGTTGTTGCGGCCCTGGTCTGTGCGCTGGATGAGTTCCACTCTTCCTCCCTTGTCAGGATAGTGATGGATGTTCTCCCATAATAGCGCTGTGGATCCACCCCCCCCCAGTCTGAAATCGTCCCCATAGGCTCCTCCCTTCACTCTCCCATGTCCCTGGTATCACTTACGCCAACCTCCCTAAGGACCAGCCCTCCCCAACAGCGACCTGGATTGCGTTATGCTGATGTTGCATGGTGTGCCAAGGTCACATGGTGCGATATCCCTCCCCCCAGGGCTTCCAAGGCTTCGGTTTCGGCGACGGAGGGTTCCAGATGTCCTTTGGCATTGGCGCCTTCCCCTTTGGTATCTTCGCCACGGCATTTAACATCAACGACGGTCGACCACCACCAGGTACAGTGATTCAGGCACTAGGCCTGTAACTAAGGAATAGTTATTAATGTCCTATTAATGTAAATTGAACTGAATGGTTTAGCACCTATATCAGGGGTCTCCAAGCCCCAGCCCTGCAGATTTGTAGGATTCCTCTGATTTAAAACACATGATTCGACTTCTCTGTTAATTACCGCCCATTTCATTGAGTTGAATCAGGTGTGGTGGAACAGGGAGAACGCTAAGCTGTGCAGGGCTGATGCTCTCCAGAACCTAGATGAGGCACAAAAACAGCAGACCCAGCCTGTCTCTCTGAGGTCGGCCCCCCAGCCCAGCACATGAGCAGGGGGCTGTCTCAGTAACTGATGTCTCTTCGCAGCCGTCCCCGGGACCCCCCAGCACCAGGACGAGCAGTTCCTGTCCCGCCTCTTCCTGTTCGTCGCCTTGGTGATCATGTTTTGGCTGCTCATCGCATAGATTGCGGGGAACGACGTCTGTCCCAAAAAGGTTCTCTCTCTCATGAAGTTCAAAAAGCACATGGTCACAAGAAACGGAAACCGTTCACTCAAACTGGCCCTCGACAGCTTTCCCCTGCTAGTTTTTGTTACGGATATTTCAGATCCTGCAGTGTCCTTATACTTGATGCTAAGCACTACATTTTGCTGAGTTCTAACAAACTCTCTTCTTGATTAAGGGTGGTCAGATTTCCCTGTTTGTAGTGAAACTTTGAGCTTCATTCAATAAGTTGTTTCAAATATTACTGCGGGAGCTTATATCTGCTGTTATCTTGGGTGATTTGCTATTGACACTGAATTTTGCTCAGGAGGCCTATATTTTTGCTTATTTAATGACTCTATATCTGGCCATTTGTACCATTTAGTAGTTATTAGTTAATACATGCAATAGCACCAACATCATGACCAGTTAGGATTAAATTATAATATTAACTGCTTAAAAAGTACATTTGGAAGAAATGTAGAATGGGCTTCATACACGGTGTAACTGACGCAGGACCTGGGCCCCCAGTGGGTAATAGTGCTTCCAAATATGCAGCTTTGGGTTCTGTGAACCAAGTTCGCTTCCCATAAATGATTCAAGTTCTGTACCATTCAGATCACAGACAGTAGTGATAGTGGTTGACTTTATTGGATCTTGTGTGAAGGGGCCTGGGCCTGGACCTAGGGGGGAATAGATTTTGTGTTCCGGGCCGAACTGGGCAATTATTTTGTACTCCGGAGTGAAGAAAGGGAATTTCCCTATGTGTCTTATTTACACGATCATCATCATAAAGACATTCTGAGGTATAATCACAGCAGTAATAACCCATCTTTCCCTTATTCACGGGGTATGAATTTGCACAGTATGCAAAAATGTCTGTAACTGATTTAGTTTGGCAAATGACAAAACGTGCCCCCGTGTGGTTTGTAGGAGAGTAGGTAGGGTGTTCATTAGCCAGCGAATTACAGACAGTATTTTCCCCTCTAACGCCTATGCAGTGTCAGCGACGGTACTGAGTGTTATTCTAGTTATGGTTTTCAGGCTGTTAAGATTCTATTAAAGTATAGTTTATCTAATGAAAGTCATCTTTCTGACGTAGTGATTAAACATCAAATCACCCTGATTTGTCCACTGAAAACTCAAAGCCAAGTTGGTGAAGAGAAATCACTTTTAGCCACAGATTATGGCTAGTAGTTTTGTTGATTTTAAGTTGTGTATAAACGGTTTATAGGCTGTTGACTGATTGTTACCCTGTGTGTATAATTCCTGCCTTAGAAATAAATGTATTTTGGGGAAAAAAAACACATGTGAAAAGATGTCTTGTCTATTGTTATTTCTATATAGATATATTATATATATATACGACATCATGTAGAACGTTACCAACTTCCTTTTTACGATGTGTAATTTGTGACCCGCTTGGCACAGATTGTGCTCCTTACTGGTGGTGCCATTTAAGCATTTCACCTGGAGGAATTTGAGTCCTGAAGCTTCAGAGATGTTGCTGATGCCTCCTGGTGCCCGTCGGAGGGTTAACATGCCTGCCTACGTGGGAGAGACCGAGACAGAACCGTGACTCACAAAGAATGGGGGAAAAGACTGCTGTTTATTAGAGCCTGGAAGAATACAAAAAGGTAACGGGAAGTAGCACCGTCACACGAAATGCCTACATTTCAGCTGCGTCTATCAAACTCCCCACCGAAATGTGAGCAAGGCAAGTCAATACGACCGTTACTGTGAGAATTTCGGGTTGGATCTGACCGCGCAGGAAGCAAAAAGGTAACACTTCATTGTTTTTTATGAGGTGGCTTAATCTCCGTTAGTATTACATTGCTACAATAGCCATTAGTGTCTGTCAACACCACTGAAAAACTGCTGTAGCATTGCTGTGCGCAGGAGCTGCGCTCCTAGATGTTCTGTGGAATAATTATCCGTGCTCCTTTTTCAAGTTCCCTTTTCATCATGGGATGCTTAAATTATAGCTCGTCCTGGTACAATGGAAATGAAAAATGAATGACCTCTTTGGCTGCGCCAAGGGGAAAAAGCACAGGAGGCGAATTCAAGCGATGGATAAAAAAAACGTTTCGATTCAAACTAGCTAGAAACTGCCTGTAGCATACAGCCCCAAACCTCATCCCCCCATCCCCGGTTAATTCCATTCTGATACTTCTCTGTAAGATACATTCTCTACCATACAAAATTAATTCTGAAAAGCATCTCGCAATGCATTCTGGGAGAACACTCTGCCCCTCGAGATCCCGTCATCAGGTTCAAGCTGTTCAAAGCGTTGCTCCATTAGCTGCGTGATCCAGCTTCGGCTCGCCGGGATCAATGCGGGATGCAACCAAAGGATCGGTTTCCATGGGAACAAATTGCACGAGCAGGGCTCCTAAGCAAGCACCCCATCATTGGCTGACTGTAACCTGGCCGTCTGCAGTGGCATAACGTGTACAGACCCGCCAGCGGACTGTAGTTTAGCAAAGCGAAGGAAATGTCATCCATCCTCCATCAGGCTTCTGGCCTGCGGTGTGTAAAGATAGCAGTCAGTCTGGCAGGGAGCCTGAAATTCTATTTATTAAACACAACACTGTCACATTCTGAAAATGGACACGGACCCCGTCATTGTCTGGTGTAACACAGATATCCACCAGCAGAGGTCACCAGAAATCATTTCATTTCATTGAGGTCTTTCATTTTGCCACCTCCTTAAGTGACAGACAGTAATATGAAAAATTCTCTGGTTCTGATTATTATGCAAAAAAGCAGAGTTACAAACACCAACCTGTGATGTATTTGACATGGACGCTGTCACGTGTCCCGCCTGAAATAAAATCAATACCATTTGATTTCACCAGAGTCCACATTTTCCAAGCAGCCTTACGATAGCACTGCTTGTCAACGTGGAGGAACCTCCTGCTGTCTGTCACAGGGAACCAGTTGTTTTTCATTCTGGAAATCTGTCAAAATGCTACAACGGCAGCATCAACAGCAGCAAAGGAGAAAGATCTCAGGCCAAGTTCCTCTGCAGCGTCCAATAGCAGAACATTCAGTTCATGTTGGGTATCTTCAATAAGAAAACCATCATTTTAAAGTAAAGATCTTGCTTTCTGATTTCCATACTTCTCAGCATCAAGGACATCCATCCTCTGGCTCGTCTGATTCCTTATTTAGGGCAGTTTAGATGTGACTGTTCCAGCTGAGGAGTCGAGGCTGACGGTTCCTGTGCGACATGTCAGGCCCGGGGTCACCAGCCTCTTTGAAACTGAGAGCTACTTCATGGGTACTGAGCCTCACGAAGGGCTACCAGTTTAAAACTTATCTAAACTTCATGGATAATAAACATGTTGTAAATGCTTTTTTTTTTTTTAGATGAAATCTATATAAATGCAAATGTGATTAAAGAAGAATAGCAACAGGATAAAATTGAATTTTAGATGCTGCTCACTGGTGAGTTGTGCTATTTTTAGGTCCGCGGGCGACTCGTGGTCCTTGGGGGCGTCCTGGTGCCAGTGGGCACCATGTTGGTGACCCCTGGGATAGGGGCTGCCCACTGCCTTTGAGCAGAATCAAGGCCTACGGTTGTCAGTGCTGAGGGTGGGGGTGCAGGGATGGGCCAGGTACCCTTTTCAGGCCCCTGGTGTCCCCCGCTGGCTGACGTGGGGGTCGTCTCCCCCAGCCGGGACCCTCTCCTCAGCGGAGGTGCTGGCTAGAGCTGTGGTGACCTCATCCAGAAGCTGACAGGTGGGGTTGGAGAAGGCAGAGAGGGGAAGAGCCAGTCGCTGCATCTCCTGCTCATGCTCCTGCCGCTCCTGCCGCCTCCGCAGGCCCCGCCCCCTGGATCGATAAACGGATGCTCCTCCTTAGGGACGCCGTCTCGTTATGCGGAGAGCAGCGCCAACAGGAAGTGTGTTTGTAAGCAGAGGCCGGCAATTTAAAAAGTTGTTTCGGTGACGCATCACTTAAAGCAGTCATTATGATGCATTATAGATACCTTCATAATGCAATATAATGGTCAGTATATGCCATATTAATGCATTATGAAGGTCTTTCTAGTGCATTATAGATGAAAGCTTCAAAGAGCATTCATAATGCATAATAAACATGGCTATGATGTGTTATGCCTTTTTATAAATAGTTATAGCCATTCACTTTATAAGTGAATTAAAGTGTTATTGTTTTTTTTAAATACAAACATTTTAAGAGTGAAAAATCACATGTTCTGTTCTCTTCTTTAGACTATTTGGGCTCCAAGCTGGATGGATGGAAACAATTTAGTTAACTTTCCTTCCATCCGTTTTGTGTGAATCTGTGTAAACCCATGAAATTCTAAGCAGATGTGGGGCACGTGTGTGTCTCCGTATTGCTGTGAGCCATGGGTGACACCCCCTCAATTAAAAATGCTAAAACGGACCCTGATCAGATCTGACAGCCAAATATAGCTCTCAGTACATCACCAGGGACACCTGACCTTCAGCCACAAGTGACACAGACTTCCCGAAGAGCGGACAGCCCTCATCAGCCCAGCCGCAGCCATGGTGAACCCCCCCTGGACACCAATTTAGCGGGAAGTGCCAAGATGGAAACGGACTCAGCCATCTGGCCCCCACTCTTCTCCAATTCTCAAATCTAACATCATTCTTCTGCCTGATTCCGTCAAAAAACGCTAGAATTCTCCATGGAAGTTACCTGACATTTCCCTTGAATATTTTTTTTTAATCCCTCCTGAACTAATGTGAGTAAATGTTTCATATACGTGAATTGTGTTGAACATCCATTTCTGATACGGGGGGGCGGGGTGACGGTGACAAGCGTGGCGTTGCACACTGACATCTTATAGATGTATCCACCCGCTATTCCCATTCCGAGCAAAATGATGAGGGTCATCATGATGATTCCAAGGACATATCCTGGAAGAAAGAAATACAAAGATCTTAGCAGAACTTCTTAACTCAAGGGTTCCGCTGGAAAATAAGCAACCAACTCAAAGGCATGTATTTCTGTGTTATTCAGGAGGAAATGCACTATGGTTCTACAAGCTTGATGTCAGCATTGATCTACAGAGTTGGGGCAATAACGTGCCCATGTCTATACTAACATAAAGGACACTTACCGGACCATACCCCACCCCTGCCTTGGAGAGTTTGACCACCTCTATCCGTTTCTTGTCCCAGCACCTAAAGCCCTCGCCAACAGTGTTAAGCCGACCAGCAGGACAGTTAAAGGTTGGCCTGTGGGAGCCGTCTCTCAGAACTGTTTTGAACCAACGGAATGGGATGTACTTGCCCATCAGTCCGACCGGGAGGTGTGCACTTCATCTCTCCTGTCATACACGAACTACTGAGTGGACAACGTCACTGTTAACAAAAGGACCCGAGTATACACGAATGAGAAGCTGTGGATGAGCAGGGAAGTCACACGGCTGCTCAGTGCAAGAGACTTGGCTTTTAAATTAGGAGGAGACACAGTCTACAGCAGGGCTCTCTAACTCCGGTCCTGGGGAGCTACTGTCCAGCAGGTTTTCTATCATACCCGGCTTCTGATGAGCCACACCTGTTCTCAGGTAAATACCAGGAGCAGGTGTGGCTTATCAGAAACCAGGTAGGATAGAAAACCTGCTGGACAGTAGCTCCCCAGGACCGGAGTTGGAGATCCCTGCTGTAGACTGTCACCAGAGCGAACCTTAAGAGAGGAATCGGGTCTGCAAAAGACAAGAACAAATTATGGATAGAGGAGGACTTTGATGGTAACTCACGGCAGGTGTGGCAAGGCGTTACGGACTGCAAAAGGAGAAACGGCATGCAGCATACAGCAGGCAATAACGCCGCCAAGCTAGTGGAGGAGCTTAACTTCATTGCTCAGCTTGACAAAGACAATAACCAGCCTCCGTTCCCTTTCAGACTGCGGGGAGAAACACAGACTCCTGTGCTGCACACTGATGAGGTACGGCGAGCCCTGCACAGCATCAGCACGCGGAAAGCAGCCTAATGGTATCCAGGGGCATTTACCTGGGCTGGTCACCTAGCTGAGGTATTTACACACATTTCCAACCTCTCTGTATCCTCAATTACAGTCCCCATGACCCTCAAAATCACCATTGTGCTCATTCCCAAAAAACCTATGGTAACTAATCGGCCAGTTCCTCGCACCCCTGTCATTTCAAAATGCTTTGAACGACTGGTTCATCAAATACACTGTCCCAGCTGATCTTAATCAACACCAGTTCGCCTACCAGCTAACAGGTCAGGATGCCATTTGTGTGGCTCTCAATATAGTTCTCTCGCACCTGGAGAGAAACACCTACATCAGGATGCTCTTTGTCAACTACAGTTCAGTGTTTAATATCATCATATCAGGCAAGGTGGTTGACAAACTCCATGCACCAGGACTAACTCCCTCCCATATGTAACTGGGCACTGGAGTCCCCCAGGGCTGCGTACTGAGCCCTATCTTTTTACACAAGACTGCCACCCCATCCACAACTCAAACATTATTATTAAATTTGCAGATGATTCAACAGTCATCAGATTCATATCAGACAATGACGAAGACACGTGCGAACAGGGAGGATGTTCAGAACCTGACAACTTGGTCTGCCAACAATAACCTGATCTTAACCACCAAAAAGACCAAGGAGATTATTGGGAACTATAGGACTATTAAAACGATCTCGCATAGTTCTGTCCACATCAACACAGAGGTTGTGAAGAGGGTCCCTAGCTTCAGGTTCCTGAGAGTTAGCATCATGGAGGACTTCTCCTGGGCAGATAACATCTCACCAGTGGTGGGTAAGGGACAACAATTCCTTTATTTCTGAGGAGAACATCCTAACAAACTGCATGACGGCCTGGTACAGCAGCTGTACAAAAGCTGACAAAAAACTGCGCAGGATATCACTGCAAGAGCTGCCATCACTGGACGGTCTTCACCACACTCGCTGTGTGAGGAAGGCTAAGAACACCATCAAAGGCACTACACACCCTGGACACCATCTGCTTAAGCTCCTCCTGTCTGACAGGCACTTCAATTTGTAGACACACAAACAGATTTAAAAACAGCTTCTTTCCAAGAGCTGTGGCACTAATGAACTCAGAAATCTCAGTCTGACAGACTAATATGCTGCTGCTATTGGAATATGGGCACCATTATTTATGTCCATTTTGAGCACCAGTTAAGTTTAGCGTGTCATACTAACCATACATGTCATTCAACACCAGTAATTCACTTTCATTCCACATCAGTCCACTGCGCCCTTATGGTACCACTGCTGCCGATGCTGTTTAGTAGCCTGATATTTCGTTTTGCCTGTATATTGTATTTTTTACTCTGAATATATACTTTTATAGTGATGATATTTTTACACTTTTGTCGTATTCTTTGCATATATGTGTGTTTTTAAATATAATGCATCATTTGAGGTTAATGCAATTATATGATGAAGTTCTTGAATCTTAATTTGCATTTCTCCTTTTTCAAAACAATTTGGTTGATGGTCACTGGGCTTTTTAATTCACCTCAACTGGCTTACCCCCAATTCCGAGGTCTTTCTTTCTGGTGGGGTCAGTGCGGATCCAGCGGCCAGGTCCCACGGCAGGTCCTACTGCTGCACCCTCGCCTTGAGTTGAGAGGACATGGACTGGATTGAGGATCAACCAGATCAACAATAAACCTCAGCATACATATCACAGAGATGCGTGTTGTATTTTGTGAAACACACTTCATCTGAAATTGCTAAAAGCAAGATGAATTGATTGTATTATCCTGATTCTGGACATGCAAAAGTCCTACAGGAATGCGCAAACTTCTCCAAACTTTTCCATAATCCACTGTAAACAACCCATCAAGGTGTCAGCTACTATGACTGCTGCATTAAACCTCTGGAGGTAGATTACAGATTATAATCTCATATACGCAGTAAAGGCCGTAGACAGTATGATGCCTTAGGCGGGCATCACTGCCAATGCCCCCTATCCAAAGCAAAATAAAACTGACTGGCAAGATGCCACCCCCCCCTCAGAAGCTGGTGCCCTAGGCGGTTGCCTGTGTTGTTTATAGGACTGACCAGCTCTGCATATATGCTAAAGATCCTTAGTGATTCTTGACAATTACACTACGCCAATGAGACGCTTTACACAGCACTAATTATATACACTTAGATATTTATGGCAAAAATATAATTTTCACTAATAAGAATGAGCAATGGGCGGGCATAATATTATTGTTTATGCTTCTCGGAATGTCGTCTTGTTGGCATGGTGCCAGAGCCGCTCTTATCATTCAGTTACAAACCAGAGGCCCCAGGAAAGACTTGAAGTTTGGCTCTGGAGAGATAGAAGTCCCTGTGTTTGGCGTCAGTGTTTTCATGTGCGTTCGGTCACGTGACACTTGGACACTTGCCATGTGATACACTTCGGCACTGTGTCTCCAGCCAGCATGACGACCAGCTCCCCCACCATGATATGAGAGTATCGCACCCATGTACAGTGACAATATTCACACAGTGGGAGGCAGTTAGGGGTGCCTACGTCTAAAAACATAAGGCTTGTTTTCCTTTCCTAACTACATGGCTAAACACACTTTCTGACTGTACTGTTCACACCACGGGGATGGACCTGCCCCGGCAGACACCATGTACAAAACTCAGTACCTCTGCAGACTTCAATGACACAGGCTTGTCTCTGGACCAGGCCGTCCTGCCCAACCACGTAACACCAAGGCGTCATGGAGGAGTCTGGGTTACGGCAGAAGTTGTGGTCGCCAATTCCTAATGAAGAACACATCTACCCATAATACATATTCAGAGTGAAGTTTTAAACATGCTTCATCATCCTTAAAAAAACAATGTTACTAAAATCATTGATTGATTTGTTTGGTCATGGATAATAGATAATACTTACATTATCGACCTTAGGAAGTGCCAGGTTAGAAAAAACATGATCTGACCATAGACTCTCCTAGCATGTTCTCTTCTCTAATGTCTGTGTGCCTTGTCATGAAAATCTACCCAATCTGATTACCTAAATTCAAGCACCCCCACTGCATTTTATAGACATACATATTCCCTGGGTTTCTGATCAGACATCAGCCACACTTTCTTGCAAAGGATGTCCAGGAGATCAGCAATTCCCACACACCAACAACATGGAGAGCCGGGTCCGCTTCCAGGACATCCACATATCGCTGTTGAAGCACGTACTCGTCTCAACATAAAACCCACAGGCAGGACCAACAGAAAGGAAGAGCTCGTTCCCTACCTGTGTGGCGGTCAAGGCCAGCTGTTACTGCATAGTCTCTGGTGGCGCCTGCCCAGTTCAAGCACTTTCTACCCGTTAACGTGATCTGCTGTTCGCCTCTGTAGTCAGCCCCGTCGGATCGGATGCACTCTGTGAAACGGTCCCTGGCTGACAAAGGTCAGCACGAAGAGCATAAAGATGCTCAGAAAGCACTAGCAAGATACACATGTATTCTAATTACCATCCACTGGACACAGGTAACACTTTATTTGTGGGGCACAAATACTTAGTAATAACTCAGTTACTACTGAAGTACAAATCATGAACAAATATATTTGCTACTTAAGATGCGTCACGATTTATTAACCATAAACATGAGATCGGTATTTTCACTTGAGTTCTTCATAACTAGTTCACAAAGGATTACAGAATTAACAGATATAGTAACAAATATAGTATCTGCTTGAGATAAAACATGCGTAACGATTCATTAATGATGAATTAACATGAATATCAGTTTGTAACTAAGACCTAGTTTGTGGTTAATTAATACATAAATAATAGCATAATACTATATAATTTGTGCCCCGTCAAGTATAGTGTTAACGGATACGTAAATATATGTTTTGTCCATTCATTACAGATCAAAGTACATTAACTTCACCGTGTTTTACTTACTCATAAATAGTACTGGTAGTAATATTAAAATGTTTCATCACTAAGCACAAAGTTTAAAAAAATTAAGAATAGTATTTGGTCAAATGTTATTTTCTACTGAACGCTTACCTTGATTACCCTTTGTAACGCTCGCAAATACGACACAAAGTATAACAAATCGCCGCATGATGATTTAACGCCGCAAACAAACGCAAACTAACAAGACGGAGGCTGCCGCGTGCTTAACTCCCAGGGAGGGGACGACACACCATCCCCCACGCAGCCAGCCAGCCTGCAGCACTCTTTCATGGCATGAAAGTCCTTGTATCGGCGTGCGGGGCCATGTCTTCGAGATCCTAAACGCCATCTGAGCAGCCACTGCTGCTCCCTCCTCAGCCCCTTAGGGTCACAGCAAAGTGATCGCGGCAATCCGGGAATGACTGTACAATGGAAGGAGGCGGGGAAACTATAATCGCAGTACTTACTAAGGTAAAATACTATAAATACCTCTATTTAAATACATACTTCAGTGTTATAGTTAACAGTGTTAATTGTGTTTGTTATTTATTTACTGAGTTTCTGCATTGATTATGCCAGACAGACTTATATACATATATAGATGTATATTTTAACTAAAACGGAAACTTTATCTAATAGTTTAAATTAACTTAAAACGGACCTCATCAGCAGCCATATTCTACAGTTTAAAATCATGTTTGATTGCTCTTATTATAAAGTATGAGCTGTAATAGAGTAATAGAATTGTGATACTTTATTAATTCCTGTGGGGTAATTCTACTTTTGCTTTAGTCCATCCTGCTCTCCATGAGATACACAAGCAGGTGAGTGCTAGCTTGGGTGTCACAGCAGAGGGTCAGCCACCTTGTGGCACTGGGGAGGCCCTGGGGGAGGGAGGGGGGTGATAGGGGCCTTGCTCAAGGGTCCAAGGATGTGTGACTGTTCTGCTGAGGCTGGGGCTCAAACCAGTGACCTTCTGATCACACACACAGCGGCTAAGCTCACCGACTCTGGGACAGCAGGGTCTTCCCGGCACGTGGGGGCCATGGTCTGTGGATTGCTGCTGCCCCCTCCTCGGTAATATCAGAGCCCAAAAAAGAGTCCCCCCCCCCCAGGCAGGAGGTAGCAGGACAGGTGTTTATCATACGCACATACACACACAGGACATAATCAGCTCCTACAGTGACTGTTCCTGAAGGCCCCCAGTCTTGGGTTTCCACAGCCTTGTCACTGTTTTAGAGGAAAGTGTTTTTGATGGGAGCGACAGGGTTATGTAAAGAGGTCAGACCCCTTTCTATTCATAAGGCGCCTTAAAAGAAAATGGTTCATACTTCTGCCCTTGCATGCAACCTTTTCCCAAAGATATGTGCTATTTCTTTGTCCTTGTATTTTGTGTGTGTGTGCACAGCTGTCTGTTACCCATCCAGGCCAGAGGTACCCCTGTCCCCATTGTTGTCTGTCTCCTGCGTTGTCGTGGAGACACAGAGCGGGGCAGATGGGCTCCCGTTACCGCCTGGATGGGTAATCCCATTAGCCGCTTCGGCCGCGTCGAGGCGTGAGAGCAAACAGCAGAACCGGAGATGTTCTGCTTTCCAACCACACCAGCACCAGTTGGGTCAAAGATGCCTTTGATGTGGATAAAACAGAAGAACCACTCAATACTGTATTCATTAGCTTATAATTAGGTTTTAAACACAAATAACATGGTAACACATACAAGGGGAAAAGTTTTTCGCTTCAACAGCAACAGTTGTTACAAAACATAGAGCGTAGGGGGGAGATTGAAGCCAAATGAAATATTGGGGGGTACATGTCTCTCCCCATCCCCCCCAGTTCCTACACCCCTGTACATCGCAATGCCACAGACCTTAATGGGAGGCTACAGTCAATGCATTTTGCTTAATTGTAATGTACTACGTCAGCTTCTCATATTTTCAGAGCTTGAGCACGATGTTCCGATGTTCAGTGGCCTGTGACCTCTAATCCATGCTTGTTAGCAGAAACCTAGGTCTGATTCATCTCTCATGATGTCCTTAGCCAATCGTCTTCCAGTTAAGTCACTCCAGCTCTCCAATCAGCAGCAGGCTGATGGCAGGACTTTAGGTGCGGGTTTGTTCAGCCAGGCCACAAAGCCATCGAGATTGCCCTGGTTTGGCAGGAACTGCTGAGGAGACTGAGGATAGAGGAGCGAAAGCTTCAGGCACTGAGCCATTCATGGCGAGTTACCCGCCTGGTTACATGGACCCCCCATGACATGCCCCTCTGTTTCAGGGTTGGCAGGATCCTAATAGCAATTAACAACAGTCACAGGTGTGACCGAATCCACGAGAAATTAGCTCAAGAAATAACTTGAAACACCCAGAACTTACTGTTTTGGTCAGTTTATCTTGTTGTTTTAATGTTTCTCTGCAAATCAGGGTGAAAATAGAGCTGAATTGGATCTCCATTCTGAGTTTCTGTGCAACACCGTGACCCAGGGCTCTGGCCAACACAGATGAACATGGTTACAGAGCTCAGTTGTCATTCCCAGCCCTCCCCCCCGCCCCCACCCCTAGGCTAGGAAGGCTTTGCCAATTTTCGTTTACCAATCTCCCCACATGGACACAGGATGGACTCCCACCTGGGTGATGGCGAGTGTTACAGTGTTCTACAATAAACCAAACAGTGACACAGTGACTGAAGAGGAGGAGACCACACTGTAACTCTGAAGTGTTCTACAATAAACCAAACAGTGACTGAAGAGGAGGAGACCACACTGTAACTCTGAAGTGTTCTACAATAAACCAAACAGTGACTGAAGAGGAGGAGACCACACTGTAACTCTGAAGTGTTCTGTCCCTCAAGCTAATGATTATTATTAGCTGAAAAAAAATCACCAGATGGGCTGTTATGCTGGAAATCGTGAGGTGGTGTGTGGGTTGGAACTCTGTGTTTGTGCTTGGTAGATCACCAGTTCAAATCCCAGGAGCAGCAGACTTTAGTGCTGGGCCCTAGAATAAGGCCCCAATTGTTCCCAGAACTGGCTGACTCTGATTTTTCAATTAGGCCTATATATTGTTTTGGATAAAAACAAGATACGGGCTGCGTTACAGGGAAATCTGTGATAACTGCGCCCTCTAGTGGTCATTAACTTTCTTTTCCAAAATAAGAATACAGTATGCTAGTATTGTAAAATTTTTGGTAAAATGATATATCATTTAACTGACCATGATTCAAAATGCAGACAGGACATCAATAAAAAATATATATACACCAATAAAATAATAACTCAAAATATGCTTTTACATATAGAAATTGTGATGCCTTTCTTTCCGGCAAGGATTTTATTTCTCTTCACCTCAAATATGTTTTTAAAATGGAGAAACTTAAGAAGATTACCTATTTATTAATCCCCTATAATGGATTTACCACCATTATAACCAATACTGACACGATAAGGTGTTTGCCTTTGAAAATCACAAAGAATGGTGATAGCATCTCCCAAATCTTAAAAACTATATGTCACCAGTGGGCTGGCTATTAAATCTCAGTGAATGGGACAGGACATGTTTAGCGTTATCTGCTTTTTTAACCCCCTTATCTATAAGGCTTAGGGTAGATTTAGAAAATCCATTAATTCCTTGATAAAAAAAAACAGAGTTGTATAGCCTTCTATAAAATAAAGGATTTGATGGTGAATAAATTCGATTTTGAAACAGTTCTGCCGAGGGACGGCCATGCTTAGCGCCCAGATGGGCCAGAGTCCATGTCCCAGAGGATGGTAACCCAAGGATGCTTGAGTCATACCCATTGTTGATGACATCAGAGGCATTTTTGTCTTGTTTTTTCTTTGTCTCTTATCCCCACAAATACCTGCTTATATAGCAAAACAAATAATAATAATAAATTAATATAAAGCCATAAAGCTATATGATTAATCCCCAATCTGTAGCCACTGGGGAATTCGAATCCTCCTGTACAGCAGAGACTGCGTGCATCTGAAGAAACTGTATGTGGCATGAGAAGTATCCCATATGTATGGAAACCCAACAGATCACTTGGTTTCCTCCCTTGACCACAAACATAACCATAGCCAGCCATGTCTTACACTGTAAAGTCTGAAAATTCAAGCAAACCGCTACACAGGTAATGCGTTTGAGGCTGCCTGGGTCCTCAAAGGCTTCTCGTCGTCAAACACATCTAGATCCAGGCACAAAACGCACGCATGCCAGTCCTAATCCCTCTCAACGGGCGACTGGCACACGAAGATAAAACAGGTGCGGTCAACCAGAGGGGCACTACAAGAAAAGGTCCATCTTCATGTCCAACCCCCTAATACCAGGCAATCTAGCCCCAAGTAAAACCACCACAATGAGGATCTTAGTCGTTTTCTCCCCCCCCTCGTCTCAGAAAGCAAAATCTGATTTCCTTTTAGAAGCAATGAGGCAAGATTAGCTGACTCTCACATCCTCTGCTAACTCCCTCAGAGAAGTGCGCAGATTAGCTGGAATTTATTTTCAGCCACTTTATTATTTTTTGAGTCTACAGGAGGATTATGGGTTTTTTTGTTGCTGGTCTTTTTTTCATTAAACCTTACTTATATAGACGGTGTGAAGTTATAGTTGTGTGTGGAGAAGGGAGTGTACCTCACTTCAGAAAGGCCCGGTGCTTCGACCACACACAGACTTGCACCCCGAGTCAGAGGGGGTCCCACGCCGGCAGAACATCTCCATCGAATCCCACGTCCATTGCCTGCTTTTCTCAGCCCTGTAGGCCATGGGGGATGCCGGACAGGCACAGAGGAGGAAGTTCTCCTTTACCATCAAGGATATACTGGCCAAGCTTCCTGAGAGTGAAGACAGAGAGGGGGGTGTCGGGCAGGCGGAGGCGTCTGAGGGGGTGCCGCCATCTCAGGTGATTCCATCCACAACCCCAGGAGAGCAACCTGAGAACACCTGCTGGTGCTGCTGCTACTGTTCTCACTGTGGGGAGTCGCTGAAGGCTGACTACCTCCCTGTGACGGGTAAGTCTGAACTACTCACTTCCAAGTGTTGTATTTAATTACAAATCTTTCTGTCTGGCACATTTGCATCCTCTCTCTCTTGGTTTAAAATGCATTTCACTAATAATAGATATAAAATGTCATATATCTGTAATACGCATGTCATATTTGTGTGTATAGATCTCAATAAACTAATTAAATCAATACTTTTTATTTACGAAAGACTTAAACATAAACAGTGTTTGTCGAATATTTCATATAACCGTATACCCCTGTTTCGCGGAATTAGAGAATGTACACATAATGTAGATATTTAGACGAACTCTTTCTTGCAATAACTTCTTTTGTCGCAGCGTGCCAATACATATGGTCCAGAGGAATGCTCCAAGAAGCGTCTAAGCCAGCAGATACCCATAGCGGCCACGCTGAGGAGCTGTTCCTCGGTCAGATCCAGAGGCGTTCCCGACGCCACCGCACCATCTTTACTGAAGAGCAGCTGGACGCCTTGGAGGAGCTGTTCGTGCAGAATCAGTACCCGGACGTCACTGCCAGAGAGCAGCTGGCGCTACGCACTCACTTACGGGAGGAGCGAGTGGAGGTGACGGTCTCTTCAGTTTATATATAAAATATGTATTGTAAAAAGCGCTCATATGAGTGACTAGCAAATACAGTGACTAGCAAAGTATTTATTCATCAGTGTATTTAAAATAGATTTATCAACAGATCGGATACTTTTTCTTCTACTGATAATTAAAGTTTGTAAAATATTTTATAGGTATGGTTTAAGAATCGCCGAGCCAAATGGAGAAGACAGAAGAGACTGGCTTTCGGCGCAAGTGACCTAAAACATTGGAGAAATGTCGAAAGCAAAAACTAAATCACAGAAAAGAAGAGAGCTATACTAAAACATATTAAAAAGACTTAAAGCACTAATTTGACGTTGCAATGGCCCTGAATTCCCATGGCGCTTTCAAATTTGAATTAAAGACGCCAATAATGATTTTTAAATAATTTATTTTTGTTGTTATAATTATTATTGTTTTAGCAATATATTATGAAATCTGCGAACAAAGCCTACATAGGTGCATCTATATCTTGATGACTAGATATTCATTTCTGGATATATTTCGCCTATTTCATGCAGCTATCCAAGAAAAACTCAAATGATCTGTGAACGGTCTTGACTGTTTAGACGTGTGTACTACATATCCCAGCACCACCCTCGAATGATAGCGTAATTTCCGATTACGTCCTAGACGTTACGTTTCATTTACGCACAACCTCGCTTGGGCTGAAAATAATACACTCTGGACAGTGTGATAATGGTGTAATTCTTGACGTTTTTATTCGACTCGAGTTTATTTTGGGCGGTCGGGCGTTTTAACCGGACAAAGGGAACTCGGCCAGCTGTTAAAGAGGAAGTCGGCTGTCAAACCCAGGGGCCGCGGCGCGATGCATGCTGCCAGCGAGAAAGCTTCTCTCTCCGGGACGCTTGTCCCAGCGAGGCCGGACACTGCTCTCGCCGTGATACAGACGCCGGAGGACACAAAGAAGCTCAAGAGGAAAATCCTCGATGAAGACACTTACATCGAGGTACGGACTGATTACTCCTCGTCCCGGTTGCCATATCTTGTTCGTTATCTTAGCGTCCTGTGAACAGCGATCGACAGGGCGGTGGGATGGGAGGTCCTTTATTTACTTATAAGTATTATCAGGTTTACTACCCTAACAGCGATGATCCACTTGTGTGATTACTTTTCTGGTGCCTCACAATCTTCCAGAGTTTAGAAAAGATCATCCAGAGAGACTTCTTCCCCGATGTGACTAAACTTCAAGCCCAGAAAGATTACTTGGAGGCCGAAGAAAATGGGGACCATGAGAAAATGAGAGAGATCGCCATAAAATACGGATCATCTTTGACAAAGTCCACGCCACGCACCTCTGTACCATGTAAGTCTGGTGTTTGTAAATGTGTATGCAGCTGTCGCACTTTTACGTGTAAAGGGTATGTTCTGTTGAGTTGTCTGGAATTTAAGGTACACCTTTTTCAATCTGTGCCGTTTCAGATGCGACTCCAGCTACTTTCGAAACCCCCGAAGGTCAGCCCGGCTCTCCCTCTTTGTCCCTAAACAAGCTGCGGCAGGGGACAAAAGCTACGGAAGAAGGTGAGTGCTGTGGCCTGGATGTCCCTTTGACACTGCCACCTTTTGAATGACCATATATGAACCAGTTACGACAGGTCGAGTGCTGGACTTGCCAGACGTGTTTAAATAAACGCGCGCACTCACTCACACACAGCCTCTCTTAAAAGCTATTTCCTCTTTGCTTGAAGAGAGACATTTTGTGTCCTAGAAATGTGTGTATTATAAACGTAAAACTGTGCCTCTTTCTGCAGGGAGTAAGGAGGAGGAGGAGGGAAAGGAGTTGCCATCCCTGGATCGCTTCCTGGCAAAAGCCACCAGCGAGGACAACGCTTCCTTCGAGCAGATCATGGAGCTTGCCAAGGACAAGGAGAAGCTGAAACATGCCTGGATGTACGAGGCCGAGCTGGAATCCGCAAAGGTCTGCCAGACATCTGCTCCACTTCCGATTCGCTGTTGTGCCCGGGGGGGGTTTGTCTGCTGCACCTTCAAGGCACATCATCCTGTATAAATCACCCACCTTTACTGAATGTGGTCCCAGGACACATTTAGATTATTCGTAACAATAATCTACAATGACAGTCCATATGTTGTTCAGTAAGACACTGTTTATTGTCGCCCTGGGTTACTTCTGCAAATGGGTTTTTATGAATTTCAGTGGGTCTTCTATTGAAATAATCGCAGTTGAGGGCATGGTTTAAACCTTGATGATTTTGTCAGACTGTTCTGTGGTCGTGGTTAGTGGACCTTTTGCGTGGGTGGTCAGGGTTGAGGAAGCTCTAGGGGGCATAGTGGGTAAAGACATGAATTTTGATGGAAGGGCAGCCTGTCCACGTTAAAAGACGAGCTCTGTGGCTGGGAAATGGTCGCTTTGTGTGAAGCATTAACTGGCTACACCAATAGCTTAAAATGTTAAATCGGTAAATGAGCACGAGTCGGGCAGTTTTCCCCTAAGTGTCACTGATACGCTGCCTTGCTGTCATCGTCTGTCACAGCGACACGAGGAGATCCTGGCTTTGCCGTCTTCGGAGAAGCAGGCCATCGAGTGCGGCAAGGCGGGCGTGGAAACCTGGGAGTACAAGGCAAAGAATGCCCTGATGTACTATCCTGAGGGTGAGTCCACCTTGGGCTCTGCCTTGGCTGTGGCTGCCTGGGAAGGGTGCACGAGAGGGCCTGCAGACCGTGTCCCCTAACGCCTCGTCTCCTAGGTGTCAAGGACGACGATGCCGTGTTCAAGAAGCCGCGGGAGGTGGTGCATAAGAACACACGGTTCGTGGGAGACCCCTTCAGCAGGGCGCTGAACAAGAGCCAGCTGCAGCAGGCCGCCGCCCTCAATGCGCAGGTCAGCTGGCTCCGCCTCCTACACCCCACGTGGTCTCACACCCAAAATGTATCCAGGGCTTTTGGCTGAAATCTTTGTGAATTGGTGTTTAATAAGGGAATGAAATTTTTAGCTAGGCTTGCTGGTGGTAAAATTTATCTTTCTAACCACACAGTCCGTCACCTGCCAGTTGAGAATTGATGGTGTAGATTAACCCATTTTCTGTGTTTTTTTTTCTTTTTCTTTTTATTATTTTTCCTAGTTCAAACAGGGGAAAGTTGGTCCCGACGGCAAAGAGCTCATCCCACACGAGTCCCCCAAGGTGAATGGATTTGGTTTTGTGGGGACGCCTTCCCCTGCTCCTGGTGAGTACTTGGGAACCTGGTTTATGGATGATTAATCATCTCTTGTACACCATGGATACACAGGTGCGGAGTGAGGAATTTTGTTTCAGTCCTGGGGGAGCGTATATCCTGACTCTGCATGAGGGCATCGTTAGTCTAATCCATCTCTGTCGTGGAGTTGCTACGGTTGTTCTGTCTTTCACTGTTTCTCTGCCCGAATTCCCCATTAAAAGTTGGCCTCCTCACGCAGGTGTGGCGGATTCTCCTTTGATGACCTGGGGTGAGATAGAAAGCACCCCGTTCCGCCTCGATGGATCTGACACTCCTTATTCAGAGAGGAACCTCGGACCATCCTTTAAGGTAGAACACGGCTGGTGTGTATGTTGGTCTTTGGTGCACAATTGAACAGCAACTTCTCGGTAGAGAAAGTGCTTTGTATGTCGTGTACGTTCACTGTTCTGCTTTGTTTTATTCCACCTTTTTAGTTTTGCTTTACCTTGTTCGCGAAAATAATTGTTCACCCTGTATGCAGATTCCCGAGCCAGGGAGGAGAGAGAGGCTGGGTCTGAAAATGGCTAATGAGGCCGCGGCCAAAAACCGGGCGAAGAAACAGGAAGCGCTGCGGAAGGTTACGGAAAACCTGGCGAGGTGAGAGGCTCCACTCCCCAGCCGCTCAGTGCCGGCGGGAGCGTAATGGCTGCAGTCGCGGCATCTGACTGCAGGATAATGTTGTTCAATTTAACAAAGTGTCGGCTTGCATCTCTGAGATGCCGTGATCTTTCTGATGCTGTAAGTGGTAAATCATAAAATATTCATCTTCGGGAGAGTTAAAGAATCAAGGTTTTGGTTTCATTTGTCAGGTTTTGGATTTTTCTTTTTTAATGTATTTTCTCTATTTTATTTCTACTGTCTTTCCCTACAGAGGTTTTAAATATTTACACTTCTATTTTTAAGGCTTTGGTATCTTGCTGGTTATTGCATCACATGTATGTCTTGCCAGGCGAATGTGTCCATAGAGCCGTTTCGTAATTCCAGTTCCGTTCCTCAATCGCCGGCTTATTTGAGACGGCGCGTAAACAGCTCTCATTCGCTCAGTGTTACCCGCGAATGCGATTGTAAAATCCCTTATTCGCTGTTGCAGTTTGACCCCGAAAGGCCTGAACCCTGCACTGTCCCCAGCACTGCAGAGACTTGTGAACAGGACGTCTAGCAAGTACACAGACAAAGCTCTGAGGGCCAGCTACACACCATCACCCGCACACGGGACCGCGGGAGGCAAGACGCCCGGGGGCGGCCTTGTGACTCCCACCAGTACCCCCACGCCCACCAGTGCCGGGACCCCCACATCCCAGGACCCTGCCTCCATCACAGATAACCTCCTGCAACTTCCCAAGAGGAAGAAGGCGTCGGACTTCTTCTGAACTCTTGGGTAGTGGATTCTTGCGTGTTCTTCGGAAAGGTCCAATCCGGACGCTGGACTGTCTGATGGGGAGGATATCTGTGTGCCGCAGCGAGGTTCTTGGGGCCTTAGTGCTTTGTTACTGAACTCGGACATCACTGCAGGTATACAAAGGCACATGTCAGTGTGGTATGCATCAACAGTGACAGAAGATGCTTTGTTTGGGGAATCTAAACATTTTGTACAGTTATTTTTTTTTTTATGATCTAAATATATTATGCTTATATTTAAGATCTGTGTTGGTCTCTTTTTTTGCATTATACAATGGTGATTTGATGCACAGGAATGTTTTGTGTGACACATGCCCTTAAGCTTAAATATTCCTATTAGTGTTATTGAAGTACCAGTTTTTTTTTCGGTGTATTTTTTTCTAGTACAAAAATACATTTACTATATCAACAACTGGAGCTGCTTCTATGCTTGAACTAATGGGAAGCCTTTTTTAAGGGTGCTTTGACCCTTGGTCCTGTGAACCTGTGGTCAGAACTGGGTTCCATCTGGACCTCCTTGTCACTGTGGGTTGCTTGGTCAGTGGGCTTCTTGCTCTGATTCTTCTTGAAAAAAGCCTTTTGCAACTAGGTCCATCTAGGTCTCCCCTGTGGCCCAGTTCCAGGGATAACATGTGGGGGAAGTAGAATCAGATCCTTGCACTGTGCTCGCAGGTTATATGACGCTGGGAAATGAACAAGGAGCTGTTTTTGAATCTTGACCATTTTCTTGATATTGGAATTGTTGTATGACACTGACCCAGTGATCATGATGAATAAAATAATACCTGTGCTTCGGATCGTCGTAAATTTTTAGCGTCGTATGGGACAGAGCCACACGCGATTCTTGCCGTTGGCGGTAATGTAGGTTTTCTTGCTGAACCCAAAATCCGACACATTGAGATTGGTCTTGCTGGAGGATCAGGTTTTCCTACTTTAGGTGTCTATGAAAAATGTCTGTTTTGGGAGTGTATTTTATAGCCAGATTTAGCTGACGGAAGAGTTTACGGATGAAGCTGTCAGCCAAAGCACCTTTTATGCTTAATGAGCTCCAGCAAGTCCAACGATAATACTTTTTCTTCACAGCACTCCAAGTTCTCAGATAAGTTGTCAATGTTGCGATGGTTCAGCTATGGAAGACTTTCGAGCTCCCGTAGCAAAAACTTGTCAAAAAAACCTGTCGGCGCATGTTTGTTGTTGACGAACCTTACGGCAAAGTGGCGCTATAACTCCCCGGACAAGGCGGATCTCTCTCTCTCTCTCTCTCTCTCTCTCTCTCAGCACTAAAGAATCTACAAGAATCTCCCATTCCACGTTATTTTTTATTGTGCTACGTCAGGTGTTTACGGAGACATATTTGAAATATGTCATTCCCTCATAAGAATTCCTTAGTGATGCTTATTAGGTCTACAGTTTAATAAAAAGTGCATTTTTTTTTCGATTTTTCGAACGATTGTCGAATGTTATATGACATTTGATCACGATTAAGGTTCCGGAAAATGTAAATGTTTTCTGCCGTTGTCACAGGATCAATCCTTTTATTAATAATAAAAAATAAATTATCAATATCAGAATAGTAAGATTTGAATAGTGAGAGATCAGGATAAGTCTAAATGTGTAAATATTTAATGGTTGTATTTAATGAATGTTGCCATAATAGATCTTGACCAAGTATGCTAATTAATTTTTACCCCTTAAAGCCGTCTAAAAAGCAAAATATTTTAGCCCTAGTGCCTTCTATATATTTGAAACATTTTCGCTTGGTATTAAGGAGAGGAATGATGTCAATGATTAAACGTCAGTCAAACCACTGACGATGCAATTCAACATACAAACAAGAGACTATATTATCCCTCCCATTCTGCATAGCACAGAGGGATGGATGGATTGATTGATTGACTGATTTGATATAATGTCAATACATGCCAAGCCGTTTTCCCTTGGGTTAGATGTCTGCATTTGTTTTTATTATCATAGTATTTAGATAAGCATTGTTTATACGAACATTTACTTTTATGTTTATTTATATAAAGACTTAACATTTGCAATTTTACAGGGTATCAAATATCCAGAGTTCACCATCTCTCTGCGATAATCACGTCCCATGCCATCAGCTGACTTGTCATGTTTACAGTGACGCGCAAGCGGAGCGGCGCCGCGTGCGAGACCCGCCCCCTGCTGGAAACCGATTGGCCGGCCGTCGACTTGGTATTTTTGTGATGGGAGGAGGGAGCCATCTTGTTTTATTGGAAATTTGGACTGGAAGGTGTCGGAGCGGTGGGGTGTCTTTCCAGTATTCCTCTGAGAATAATCTGATATATTGTCATGTCTGACTTTAGTGCGCGTCCATAGGATAAACTAATGGAATAATCCCCGTGGCGCGTCTGCAATTCACACCTTTATTTTAGATATATTTCTGTGTGGGGGCTACTATGATGAATGGAGGATAAATGTTGCCGAAGCCCGACTGCAGCGGTGTCGCCCTCCTGTCTTTCCTCTGCGCGCTGACTGTATCGGACCCGCCGCGGTCAGGTAAGGCTGCTTGCGTGCAGATTTGCAGAGGAGGCGCCATCCCCTATGCAGGTCTTCGCGGGGGGATCGAAGCTGGAACCAGTCCTAGCATGGCCAAGAAAGGGGGGGGTGTCCGGGGAGACTGTGCGATCCGAGGCCGGTGGGGGCGAAAGAGTTTAGGCCCCCTGTCCTTGTCTGTCTGCCGACGGGATTTAGACTAGCAGTGCATGCAATCTCCGGCTAAGCGGCTCGATCGGATAAGCCCCTATACAAGAGATTAGTCATTTGTCCACTATTTAGAATATTCTTTCTTTTTTTTAAGCCATCTACATTTGTTAACTACGAAACTGAGAAAACGGACTTGAAGCTTGTCTTGCAAGTCTGAAATATTTGCTACCGCTTTTTGGCTACTCGGTATATCAGAAATAAAAAAACAGCTTATTTCAGCTAAATTTATGATTTGCGTCACGACGCAGACACGCATCTATAAACTTTACAATGTATACAAGTTGTCGGTCAACCCTCTTTTACTTTGCAGTATATTTGCTAGATGCAAATTTAGTGGAAAAATCCTTAACAAAAAAGGTCATTTTAAATGCATATGTAGTTGCTTTGAGGTTAGCGTGTGACTGGAGCTGAGTAACTGTGTGTCCGGGCGTGCAGCATCGTAATGAAAGATCCGTAGCCCTGGAGTGGACATGCATTTAGATCAGTGCCTTAAACAGAGATCCTTTATGTGCCATTTGCGCCGGTGTCGAAGATACTTAATGTGATATAAAAGGGAAGAGAAACGGAGGATTTACCCAGCAGGGTGATCGGCTTAAAACTCTGATAAATTGGGTTAGAGTTTTTTTTCCTCTTATCTTTGTGCCGTTTGCTCATCTGGTGCGGGATCGGCAGTTTGGATCGGCGTTGCACTTTGGCCTGAGGGGTGCATAGGGGTTGGGGAGTCGCAAACATGGCTGCGAGACTCGAATAATAACGAACGGCTGGATAATAATAGACGCGGTTTAAGTGGGAGGTCTGGGGTCCAAGGAGGCGTGCCGTGGTGGGGTATGTTTAGAGTGACCTAATGGCAGAAGAAAAACGCCCAATTGCTGTAGGTGTTTTCAGGCTGGGATTAGGTCTGTCTGCGTGACAGGTGCCTGTGTGTGGCTCAGAGTATCTGGCCGTCAGGAATGTAGGAAGGGAAATCGGTTCGGAAATCAGGTGGTTGTTTATTACAGATTGGAAAGATCTTGAAGGGGCGAAAAAAGAAAATGCTCCAAATCACCAGAATTGGGAGCGTGCGCATAGGGAGGTGTGTTAAACTTGTAATTCTACACCTTTGTTTTTCCGGATTGAGAGTGTTAACTGAAAGCTGGTTTGGTGTGTCCTGATACTTGTCTGCCAAATTTGTTCTAATGAGACGGTATTATTAGAGGTGCTTGAGTTCTGCAAGAATGGCTGCTAGGTTTAATTTTCACTTGTATGGAAAGAAGATGCGTGGCATTCTCTAATAGATAAGGCCAGATTGAAATCGCTTCGCTGTGTTTTTCATTGGGAGAGACTAGTCTAGTCTTAATTAAAGAGGTGGAGTGATTTCCCAGAGTGGTTGCCTTCAGTTGGGGGTGACAGATGTAAAAATTGATTGTCCGCATAAAAAGGGGTTGCATTTCTGGGAGGGGTGGATAGCATAATGATGTCGCATAGAATCGTCGTCTGCATGAAAGGCATCAGACCACTGGCATGTACGGCTTCCACACAAGCCAGATCTTGCCACAGTGAAGTAACTTCAGGCCGCGAGCCAAACTGGCCCCTCCTGCCAGCCGCGAGATGAGAAATGGGGCGAGTTAAATGGGCCAAAGCGTGTCCTAGACAGGGGCCAATCAGGAGGGCCCGGCGTGGCATCTGAAGGGGCCCCTTTCAGCCATCCTGCCAGGCTGTTCATGCCGGCATGTTCAGCATATGGACCCAATTAATTGCCTGAGCGGTGAGGTTCCTGTAGCCTGCCCAGACTGCTGCTCTGTGCTTTTCAAGTATGAGAGAGAGACTTCTTATGAAAAGTCTCACCGCACATCAATAGTAGAGAGCAGTTACCGTCGAATGAGAGATTTGATATGTCGAGACCATCTTTTGTATGTATGTAAACCAGAGGAATGTGGGAGGCAGGTTTTCCATTTAGACTGTGGGTTCCCAATAGGGATACAGATTTCGGGAATTTGCAGAGACGGAACTTTCCATGGGAATTTGTATTGGAGAATTTTATATTTTCTTATGTATGTTGTGAAACATGCAAAATCTAAGCTTACTAATGAAAATAGATTTTGAAGACATTTAGATTTAACACTTTGTTGAATATGAACACGTTTCCCCCGCTAACATTATTGAACACGGACACCTGGAGAGTGTAAGGCTTGATCTGGGGTGTGCTCCATGGAGCACAATGTCGTTGAAGAGTTTATGCCTCTGCGGCCTGCAAGACATCT